GCGTCATTGCATTATGGCATATTCAATGTACACTTGGTTCGGTTCGTGCATACAAAAGGGCCTTTCACACTTGACGCCCAATAAAACATCAGCTCTTTTTTTTCATTATCTCACTTATTTTACCATTTTATATTCGAAATGCAATTGGCAGTATGCATCAATATATAGCATTGGCTTTGCCATTGAGATTCAATTGAAGCAAAATCAACGGACGGAATCATATATAAATAAAGGCAAGCGATGCTTTCGACGCGAGACATGAGAAATGGAAGTGATGGGGATCGAGTCAAAAAGAGAAGAAGAAAAAATATGCTATTGAGACATGAAATCAGACACTTAAAGAAGAAGCAAAACGAGTCAAATGGCATCCTACACACACACACACACGATTCAGGAACGTTTCAAACTAAATGACGAATTGTCATTTCGTGCATGTGCGCGTGTGTGATTGTGAGTGTTCTTCTTAAATGAATGTTCCTCAATATTCTGTTTGCACACTATTCCAACTGTTTGTTCAATGCAATCAAAATTCAAGAGATAAAAATTAATTATATAAATGAAGCATAAATCTTGTTGGCCTTTTATTCTTCATTCGTATGGCATAAATTTAGCATGTATTCTGATTTTGCGCGTCACATGCGACCAATTTATTCCCCAAATAATGAATGCATGATAACTGTCTTATGCTTGGGCTTTATTAAAATACACGCATTCTAGTCTCTCATTTTTTTCGCTCTCTCTCTCATCTTTCGTTCATTTGATTTTGCAGCGTTGCATTCGCTTTGTGTTCGCCAGTGAGATTGTGTACATTTCTACTTATCGTAAGTTGGCAGTTATGATTGTGTGGGCGAATAATTTTTTTTATGTCATTTTATGAAGTGCATGCATTTACATTGTGTCGTCCCTCGTTTCTCGGCGGTCGCCTGCAAAAACTGTGTCTCTCTCTCTCTGTGTGTATATATTTATGTGAGCCACATATTTTCGTAGAATATATCAAATGGAAATATATTCTGTACGCATTAAAAATATCTGTCGTTTGTCGACGAGCAAGATTTCAAGATTTCATGCGTCCAACAACATGAAATTCGAAACGTTTGGCTAGAATTCATTGCGCGCGAGTATCGTCCAAAACAAATGAAAGCAATGGCAGGAGAGAGAAAAAAAGAGGGTCGATCAAAATGTAATTTCAGTGCTGAAATAAAATGCAAATCACGAGCAAGCGTGCATATTTTTGTACACAAATTTCACATCAACTAATATCGAGATTCGAGAGCAAGAGAGAAAAGAATATCGGCTCATTTTAAAGCTGTAACTTGATTACCAAAGAGAACAGATGAAAAAAAATACAACGAAAATCTTGTTTCATTTTAAACGGCTTTCTATCTAACACGATGCAATTTAAATTTCATGTTTTTCATGCGACCATACCCATAAAGACGATGGCATTGCTCAGAGCAACGGAGAGAGAAAGAGCTACCAAGTATATTTCTTACTTGTTTGATTACAGCTCCAATTGTGCGACACCGCACAAAAGAAAAATTGAAAGAATGAAGCGGTTTTTTATACATATTCCTTCACCAACAATGCTGTCTAGCAATTCCAAAAATCTCTTGATTTACTTTTTAGATCCTTTCATTCAGATTCTTTCATCAATTCAATAATTCAAATGGCTTTCCACGCACATACGTTTTCGTAATCATTAAAATCTTGATATATATTGTCAATATACTATGTATGAATCTTCTTTTCTGTAAAATTGAATGTAAAAAAGGGAACATTTTCTTTCGCTTTATCTCACTGGTGGTTCAACCATTGTGAAGGCGAATTTTATGTTTGAGCTATAAATTGTCGACGAATATTGAAACGAAAAATGCGGAACGAACACATCAATTCGACACTCTTTCGAATAATTAAAGCATGAAATGTGTGGAGTCTGTGGTTTATGATGCAGCTCTTTTTTTGATATCAGTTTTTAACACCTACACCTCATGAAATTGGAACCGCTGGTTTTGAGTGCGAGAATTGTTGTTATGCCGTTTCTGTTATTGCTTTGACTGTTGAAAGCGAAAAAAAAAAGAGACAGCCACCGCACTATCGAATGCGAAAATCGTGCAGTAACCGTAAATACACACAAAACACAAATTGAATAAGAGCGTAAAAAAGTGAAAAACCACTATGCTGGATCCGACATTTGGTGATTAATTGAATCACGACACACAGTCGGATAATTAATATATTTTTGGTTTTGTCGTTCCAAGCCGTTTCTATTTCTCTCTCTCTTTTTTTGTATATTCTTTCCGCTAAAGTGGATTTTGGTTGTTGTCGTTGGTTTTCGAATTTCGATGTTATCTTCTAATCTCGTTGCTTTTATGTCGATGCTCTCTAACACATTCGTGTTCGTTTTTTTTTTTTTGTTGTCGTTGTCGTCCTTTTCGTGTTTGTCAACCGAAAGTGGATTATGTCGAACAAAAATAAGATTATCACAATCACGAATTTTACGTTTTTACAGAAGCGAACATGCAATGCTTCAATTTTCATTAGTACTCT